TTTTAACAGATGCCTAGAGTGTCCTGGTATGTTGGTAAGAGTAACTTCATGTGTTTTGGTTATCGTGGTATTTATTTTTCTGTTTTTACTTATATTCTGGGGCGACTCAAACGCTGCAAATGGCGAACGTGGAGTGTTCAGTGGCCTGTAGTTCTTTTGTCTATGGAAAAATACCTGAAGTTTGTCGAGGGGAACAATTCGCACCATTGAGCCAGTGAGCCATTAACCCAGTGTTTCGACTGGATCCATTTATGCAATTTTGTTTTTCTATCTCTATTAATATCTCAGAAATTTTGTTGATATTGATGTACTTATTACTTGAGAGACACATTTAAAGAAGTTTTGCTACCGAAACATATTTCTATTTCTTCTGCTGTCTTACCCAATAACGTGCAAGAAAATGATCATTGTCATTCTACCCCTGCCAGAAGTCTGCGATGTGTGTGATTCACCAAAGATGGCAGTGACTGCATTGCTCTCCTGAAAGCTGATTATTCCATTTCCTGCCTCAGCCCAGCAAATGGTGTGTATCGGAAACTAGTAGCCGCGTGCGCAATATATCCTTTTTTATCTTTCCTCTACTGTTTCTTATTCCTCTTTACAAGTACCGTAAGTCTCGTCTCAATGATGAAATTTGTTTTGGTTTTAGAGTTTTCTTTGAAAACTATAAAGAGAAATATTGGTTCTGGGAGATAGTTGAGATGTACCGAAAACTGATCCTCATCTCAGCCATCCTTCTGTTTGATTCCAAAAGCCATTCTCAAATTGGCTTGCCGTAATTTCTGCAAGTGCATTAGGAATTTCTCACACCATGGTCCGACCCATAAAAGGCAAATTGGAGGATCAATTACAAGCCTTTATGCTTTGGATAATATTCTTCAATGTCTGCCTCGGTGCAATATATTTACAGCTCACCATTTTCCAGAATCCAATAGGAAACGAATCCATTTTTGGGAATGTCATGTCTGTGTTTCTGAATAGCGCTGTGGTATTAATTGCTGTTGTTAAGTTTTATTTGCTTACACTAAACAATGACCGATTTTGCTAATACTGGGATCAGAATGAACGCTGGAACTGGCCAACCTAGTACGAGATCCTTGATGGCCAAGGAGATAATTGATCTCCGTGAGAATGTGTAAATGACCGTAGATATCGCGGAGCGAAAGAAGGTTTGCAAAGATACCCTTTTTAAAACATAAGTGAAGCTCTTCGAGTCTCTGTGACAAAAAAGATCCAGGCCGCGCGAAACAGGATGGCATAGAAGCTGTAGTAACTTATTACGGACTACTGCACAAACCCACGAATTGGAAAAAAGGTTTCCCTTACAATTCTGTACCTTTCGGGATGTTTAAGGTCTTTTTCACATTTCCACACTGATCAAAGTTTACCTCATGGAGAGAAAAAAGGTTGGCAAACATACAGCTTGCGACGCTTTCTTTGCTCTGCTTCTTTCGCATGACAACAAGAAAGATCGAAGCCGCGCGAAACAACATACCCCTTGAGGGACCTGGTACAGGATTGTCTAATCCTAACATTTATTGGGACCCTGTATTAGCAAAGTCGCGTATTGTTAAACTGCACTGAATTTATATTGTACGACTCGGGCTTACGGCCGCTAAGCTGGCTGAGGAAAAAGAGAGCCATCACTCTCCCGGATTGTACAATTTGGGAACAAGACCTCACTTTGAGGTTTTGCAAGACCAACCTCTTTCTCCACTATTAAGAAGTTATTAAAAAGTTGAACCATACAAAGCAGGCAAGGGGTGTGTAAGCCAGATAATCTGCGTTGTATTACATCTAAGTTGTCTCATTCCCTTTCTTTAATTTTTACTTTCGTCATGACAACCTGTGAGCCACAGTTATTCAAATGTCTTAAAAAGCTTCCGGTATCATTCAATAACTATCTAACTGTTTGGCGCATTCGGAAAAAAGAAAAAACCTAAACATTATGGGATTTTATTGAGAAGATTCTGCATGATTTCGTGTCATTTTTTTTTTTCTTCAACAGTTAAAGGCCTCCTTTCCTTAAAGTCTAAGTGGAGAAAGTTCTCCTTTTGCTTGGTGCGATGTTTCCGGAAGATGTGTGGCAGATGTCGCGATGGTCATAGGAGCGGACGGAGTGATTTGTCCCTAATACAACCACTGACAGAGGAACCATTAGTTTTCGATGAATAAAAAACTTAACTGTTTTGGCTTCATTATGGTATTTTGGCGCGGCAAAGAGAGTACACGGGGATCTCTAATTTTGTTGCTTAGCTGAACCCCCAGCCAAAGTCTGCTGCTTTGCATAGCTACTACGCTGACAAAAAATTATCTATTTCTCTTCAATTGCATCTGTTGTTCGTCAAATGTTTTCAAAGTTTAGGTAACAAGGAAAAGTTAGTTGTATAACAGGTCTAAAGAAATATTTTGCAATGCAAAATAGTGCACGAACAGTGTTATGCTTTGCTTCTTTTCTCCGTGTATCTAATTATTTCTTTTTCATTAATAATTCTATCTCAGAAAGGTTGAGCAGGAATTTAAAATGTCGCTCTATAATTAGTGGACCTTCGTCTTGCATACCCCACCCATAAGGCCGGGAAGCTAAATATATTTAAACATCTGAAAGGCTTATTTACTAATCATTATATTTTTATCTATAGTACATTGCAATTGGCCACATTTACTCCAACACTTAATTGACCCATCTTTTCTTAGGAAAATTGGTTTACAACACTAATTCACCCTCGGTACAAAATCACACAGCCTGGTCTACATTGTAGAAACGGATCGAGACGATAACTTCTCCCCAGTTTGCAATGATAAAGAAAGCATCAGTATAGATGCGTTAAGAGTTATTTTATTATTCCCAATTCCTCTTAAACTAAATGCCCTATCTTGAACAATTGTAACAACAATAGCGATAGATATTAATATTTAGAATACCATATGATTTACTAATACGATATGAGCTTGATCAAAATGTAATCTGGTGAAATTAAGTTAAAGCAAGTAACTTTTGGTACATTGAAAAGGAAGAAAAAAAAAAAAAAAAAGTCTGCATGCACGGAGTTTCAATGTATTCATATCGCGTGAAAAAAAATGTTAGCCTAAGGAAACACGGGGAGAAGAAGATTGGATCCTTTACGTTTAGGATCATCAAGAGAGGATAATTTTTTTTTTGGGGGGGGGGGAGAAACACATTACTTTCAGGAGCACGGGGGGATATTAGTTGTCACCAACAGAGTATAAAGGGGGGAAGGGGTCTGTAGAGAAGTGACTGCTAATGAGGGGGATCATTTAAAAATGTTTCAGAGCCATATGGGGAGATCAGGTAAATTTTATTGAGACACAGTCAAAACTCATGATTTAACATTAAACGGATCAAAATGTCTCTACACCGAGAAGTTTCACAAAACGAATTTGTTCATCAACATAAAAAAATATATACCTTACAGGGCATGGCGCTCTATTAATAATTACAAGTCATTCTATAGTCTATCTTTTCATTTATGAGCGTGAAAAAAAGAATCGGATCGGGCCAACAAAAGGCTTTCACGTCAGTTATCGTTGACTTTTTCATTCAGTGACAGAAAATTTCCTCTGTTAAATATCTGTCTGATGTAATGCCATCCGTTAGTTTGCCAAATACCTTTTGAGAGCGGTTTCATTCCAATTCGTTGGTATAAGAAGTAACATGTATTCTTATATTAACCCTTTAACTCCCAGATTAAATGTGCAATTCTCCCATCTGTCAACAATGCAATTATTATAATGTTAGTCCCGAGAATTTAGTATTGGATCAAATTATTATCCTCAAATTGATATTTTTCTTATTCTCATCACTTACCTGGTTGACATTGTATTGATATTGTAATGAGAAATTCTTTCCTGGTCGAGTTAAAGGGTTAAAGATGATGATAAAGGTGATAAAACAGCAAAAGGAAAAAAGAAAAATGTCATCAAAATCATGAACATCAAACATGAAGACTATAAAGATGTATTATTTAATAACAAGCAAATGCATCATACAATGAAAACTATCTGAAGCAAAAATCATCAACTATGAAGCTACAAAGTGTCATTATCTTGCTTCGACGACAAAAGATACATATTGGACGGTATAAATTCTTATGCTTGTGGTCATCACAGAATCTGAAAAGATGTGACGTTACGACACAGCTGTGGCAGTCTAGTTAATGAATCCAAGTTCCTGGTTCAGGTTTCCCCCTCAAAAGGGCCGTACAAGTAGTTTCGAACAATAAAATGCCCTGAAAAAACAGCAGCCACCAACAGTGGAGCACATGCAGCTATGACTAGCTAAGCTCTCTTTGTTGATCAATTTATTTATCAATTGAACGATGGAACCGCAAAAAAGAATGAAAAGGAAAAAAGCAATTGGGTTGATTAAGCTCTCAATTACTCATCTAATTTCTGATTGTTATTATTTCTAAACTACATGTAAAGTCTAAGTTTTTTTTTGTCTTGAAATCTGGCCAATGAATTTTATGTTCTCTTGTTTAATCTTTTGGTTTTCTCAGTTCAAACATTATGGATGAGTCAAGTCCATCAATTTTTGTATCTCAGCTGTTAAATCATATTGACTTTTGGTGCAAGTCAATGGCGGTAAACATGATGAGGAAAGGTTAAAAAGACGTTATACACTGTAACCCCAAAGCGGCCATTACTCTGCAATATGGTCTTCCTCCCCCAAGATTGGCTCCAGGACCTCATAATCTGTGTCTCTTTTGCGTCGACAGCCATGTATCAAATGGAGAAGACCCTTTCCTGAAAGGAAAAGAAACGTCATATAGCGGATTAACTTTCCACACGGAAAAGTTACAGAAAAGCAAACTAAATAGTAGTAGACAGTAGTACTTTGTAGTAGTAATTTGAAGTAGTAGTACTACAAATATTGTATCAGGAAGTGCTCTTAATTTCCAGCTGTGGAAAAACGTGTAATCCTTCAGTGAAGGTCGGAAGAGATAACGGATAACAATAATCAAAGTTTCCTAACATGTTCATACATGTTCAAAGATCAGCTTCCGGTACATCTCAACTATCTCCCAGAACCAATACTTGTCCTTATAGTTCTCATAAAACACTTTCAAGCTAAAGTTAAACTGTTTGTGTTTTTGCGGGTATTTTCGACATTTCCAAAGGAGTGCTAACAGCAGAATTGGGAAGGCGATGGGATACAGTGCAAACCCAGCAGCGATGTGCCAAAAGTCAGTGTGTCGAGAGGTAGAACAAGGAATGGAATAGTCGGCCTTCAGTAGAGAAATACAATCGCTGTCATCATTCAAGAAACACACCTTGACACACGCTCCTGGCAGGGGCAGAATGTTTATAATCTTCTTACTTGTTATTGGATAAGACAACAGGAGAAATAAAAAGATGTTTCGATAGCAAGACTTCTTCAACTTTGAGATTTTTTCCCGTTTAGATTCCCTAGTTGAGCTCGCCGAAGCACTCTCTGGCATGGAATTCTCAATTCCATAAAAGGCATTTTCTGCTGTGGTATCCTCCATTCTTTCTAAGGTGTTTCCTGCTATAAAATTGGAATTGTTTTCTTCCGTGGAATTCTCCATCCTGTTAAGGAGAAGCATTTTAGAGAAGAGATAAAGCAGTATTAAAGAGACAGCAAAGACGTTTATAGTAACAGCGAGGACAAATTGAATAAATGGGTCCAAGCGGAGCACAGGGTGAATGCAACTCAGAGGTGCGAACTGTAAAATATTTCCTTCAACAAATTTCAAGCATTTCGCCGCAGATAAAATAACCATTGGCCACTGGACATGCAGCAAAGCTGAAAAAATACCAGCAAGAACTTGATAGAATCCAATAATGATCTTAATGCAGGACATAACGACATCTGCAACAAAACGATTGTCTCCTGTTCGTCTTGAGTCGCACTTGAAAACAATCACAAATAGTAGGACAAAGAACAAAAGTATCAGACCACAAGAAATGACTGTGACCACCAACTTGGGACATTTTAAACATCTGTTGAATCTAAGATAATGGTACGAGGAACATGCTGCACAGAGGATACCCTGGTAGCCAGTGTTGCACGTTGAGTTTATTCCGCCCTTACATGAGTCTGGATAAGGGCACTTCAGAGACTTTGGCAACAGTCCCTCAAAAGTGGAGAAGGTTTTATTATACTCAGCTGTGGTAATGTGGATGTTTTGGACGAAACATTTGTAAGATTCCATTTTTTCGGAGCTTTTCCATTTCCAAAAGTAATTTGGTGCTAATATTGCCGTATCATTCTCACAGTTCATTCCATGATATGGACACGATTTGCAAGGACCAAAACGATCCAAGCGGTAGAATTTATGGAGGCATCGACATGCACGGTGACCAGCGATTTCATCAGTGTTAGTACCTGTTTACAAACACAGAGATGTTATGTAAAAACATAGTGATCAGAATTTTCCAACATGAAAACCCTTTACTTTCTTGAGAGATCTTTCAGAGACCAGTTGATCAAAGGACGGATAACACTATTAGACGGATAAATCGCTATTCAATGGATAAGTGTTAACAGAACGTACTGCACCATCCACCGAATCGAGATTTGTTCAGTCAAGAGCGCTATCCAGTCTTTGAACAACCAGAGCCAGATGGATAAACTTTCTGCTAAAGTACAACCACCAGTGCTCTCCACAACATCATAAACCTATGGTTGCATGGGGAGTAATACACATCAGAGACAGAGCACCAAATTTTACCGACAGCACCCGGTCAACAATTTACGGTTAGAGATGGGTAGTCATTTTACCTCACCGCCTTCCGAAAATTAGCAGTACAGGTGTCGAAACAAATTGGTTTTCCTAGCCTGGCTCTACAATCAGTAATGACTCTTAATCGGGAGAAAATGTTTTATAATTAGTTTATGTTTAAAATCATAATGAAAAGCAAGCACATTTTTTAAATTATAAAATCATGGTCATCGGACAATAAGGACGAAAGTGAAATCACGCAAGAGCTTGTTATTGAACCTGATCCTTACCGTATGGGCATGCGCTATAGTCAGTAGGACTTTTTCCAGGATGCTGCTCTTCATGAACATAGGTACACGTGCTGCAAATCTTGCATTCATATTGACTCAGCCCGTCTTTATCAGGACGAGATGGGTCAATATGACAAAGAAACAATTCTCGTATTCATACGTAATGCATTCTTACAAGAAGAATTCTCTTCTATTCAATGTTATTGCAATTTTTCAAAACCCATTTTCAACCATTATTTCCTCTTACCGTAAGGGCATGCACGACAGTCAGTCGCGGATTTTCCACGGTAGTTAATCTCAGGAACATAAGTGCCAATGGAGCAGGTCTTACAGTCAATTTGGCCCATTTCGTCTTGGTAAAAGCCTCCTGAAAATAAAACATTTGGGAGCGATACTCTATCCATTGAGGTCAGACACTCATTTTATGGTTTTTAGCTAAACGTAAATGTCTTCAAAACAAATTACAATATGTAAAGCATCGTATTTACCTGCAGGGCACCTCAAGCAATTTGTATTCGCTCTATCACGGCTGCTGTAGGTGCCCGTCGAGCAAAGGCTACAATTAAGGCATCTGGGATAGTCCCCCTTACTGCATTTAGAACACATAAAGCCGGAGTCTAGAAGACCATCCAGTTGATAGCGGCGTTCCCGGGAATCGACGATTACAAACAAAGATTCTGTTGGAGCACATACGCTGATGAAAGAAAATAAAAACCAGAAACTTGTTAATAAAACCAAAAGGGTGAAAAGCCGGCGCAACAATTCACTGTAATTCAAGGTTAAAGAGTTCCACCAAGCTTATATGTAAGGCAAATTAAATGGCCTGGATTCAGACTCACACCAAACCAGACCAAAAGATACTGAATATGACAAATCATTGATGAAAGCTCAAACATGATACATTATAGAACAAGACAGCACAGCACATCACAGCCGGATTTTACTGCATCTGATAAAGTAGACCAAACCGAAGATAATATTCTTGAGCAACCTATATGTAAATGACCTCGAGGCAGCAAAAAATGACTGATCTGTAATGTTTTTAAAACTTTGGTTAAATACTGCAAATTCACAGTAACGATGACTAACTTCTTTTCTTTGTTGATATACATTATCAAGTCAAGGTCAATTAATCGTTATTTTCAATCTGATCATGAGTTTTACAGCAAAACCCGAGCGATCCCGAATTACAACCAAAATTGCTCTACATGACCTTTCACTTACACTCTTGCCTCGTTTATCCCTAGAGGAAGCTCTTTGAGGGTTTTACAGGAGAGAGCCCTAAAAAGAAGTTCAAACCTTTTAACTTTACGTTGAGGTTTGAGGTATTCTTAAGTAAATTGACAATTACTAGGTTCAAATGAGGTGGCTCATTTGGTCAGAACCGTGCACGAAGATCAGGATCAGCCAAGAACAAAATTATTGAGCAGTTTTTTGTTTATCACTGCATGGTTAAACACCTTCAGGTTAATTGGCATCACCAGAGGTTTCAGTGATCTTAAAAAAAACAAGGTGTCTCTCTCGGAAGGTATAACCAACTTGAATCACAAATTGTCAAATATCTCAAATAACAATCTTTATCCAAGCAACTGCAATGAGGAACAGTGGGTATGTAATGGTATTAATGACTCAAAGTTCATACTTATTGAATGCAAAAGGGCCTTGAAGAAATGTATCATAGTTAGTAGATTAAGAACTATCTATACTTACAAAGTAACATTTTCAGTCAGTCTATTGAATACATTTCTTGGAAGTGACGTTAAGGCGAGATTTTTAAATAGCGTCCTAAAATTCAAGAAGTTAATTTGTTTATATGATATGCTTAAGAATGAATTGCTTTAAAATTTTTTTCCCTTACGCGGAATAAATTTGTCGCTATCCCGTACAAAGAAAAACCAAGGGGAAACTTGACATAAAACCATCAAGATCGTGATACTGATTTAGACAAACCATTTACCAACTGATTGATATTGAACTTTTTAAAATGCTAAATACTATAGAACTATGTACGAAGCTGAAAGAAAAGCATATCAGTTTACTTCTATTCAATACAACTTACACCAAACGCAGATCAGTGAGGCCGCGAAAAGCATTCGCATCAATGTTTTTGATCTGGTTTCCATGTAAAAACCTACAGATAACAATACAGAGAGAATCAAACCATTTTATGAGATTTCAAGGGAAAGTAAAAGGCATTAGAACACACCATCTTAATGTAAAGGTAATCTACATATATTAATGATATCCATGTGACACCTTAGAATTTGCAAATAATTCATAGATTTCAGGTTACTTACAAAAAGTTCAAAGACATTTCAGCCAAAGCCTTTTCAGGAAGAGAAGCCAGACTGTTGTTCACAAGCATCCTTCAAAAAAAAAAAAAAAAGACAAGACGGACGCTTCAAGCTCTCTGTTAAACCCTTGTTAGATAGAGCTGTATCAGTTCTTCCGCGTTATTTTAGAGTCAACGTTTCTTTTTGCTGTGTGTGTATGTTTTTTTACGTTCAGTATTTTAAAATTCATTTCTAAACGTTTCATATAGCACAATAAAAATTCAGTTTTCTTCGTGTCAACTTAAAGAGAAAAGATTACTTACAGCAACCTCAGATTTTGAAGCCCAGCAAAGGTAAGGCTGCTAATTTTTGAGATGTCGTTGAAGTGCAGAAACCTAATTAAAGGAAAATGACATTGATGTTCAAAGTAAACCTTTTTTATTTTGTGTTTCAACTGTTTCAAAACAAAAGAAAAGGAGAAGAAAAGGCAGATTTTATTTAAATATATAGAGTTTTCAAATAATAGTTCTCTAATTAGCACGTTTTAGGGTTACCTCGTAATTTTTGATAACAACAGGTTGCATAGAGGAAGATGTTTTTCGTCTTGTCACGAGCCTGGGACAAAGAAAAAATTCTGATTCCTAATGACGAATCAAATCTCATGGGGACCCAAAATCTTTTCTTTGTCCCAGTCTCGTGACAAGACGGAAAACATCTTTCTCTACTTCTTTACCGAGCTCAAAACTTATCATCTCTCTTATTACATTTACAAACAGGTTACATGTTTGAAAATAAACTTTTCTCTTACAATACTTCCAAATGCTTGAGGCCAGAAAACGCACCATCTGGTATGGACGAGAGCTTTTTGTTGAAGGACAAATCTCTGTATGAGTAAGTATAAGACATATTAGGCAATCGATCGCAAACAAAGCCGTAGATGAGTGAAGTATGAAATCAGTGAGTCTCAGTATCCAATCAAACACAACTTACAAAGCGTACAGTTCTAACACCATATTCTCATAACTAATTAACAAGGTAATGTGTAGTTGCAAGAGGGGAGAATTAACAACCTGATCTTGGAAGTTAAAGGTTAAATCAAGCGTTATGATTGATGCTTAAACTTGAGGTTTCCTTCTTTGTTTTTTCCTCTTGAATGGACTCGTGCTGACTAAATTCTTTTACAACTTAGATAAGAAAAAAAATCGATATGTAACATTTTCCTGACAAAACATCATTTTTTACATCTTGTGGCCTTTTATCACCTTCAAAAGATGTGTATTGCTCCACGGAATCGTGTGAGCCAATTTCCACATAATTCTCAGGGTACAGTGTATATCGTTTGTGTCCAAAATGCCAAAAATAGTTGGTAGGAGGTTGAAGCATTAAAGGTTAAATCCTCCTGAAGAAATCGAAATTAGCAAGGAAATTGAAAAAAAATTATTTTACAAATGGCCTTGAATAGTTGATGGTTGCTGATGTGGTACTTTCAGGAAAACCAAAAAGTAAAAGTGCAGTTTACGTTGGCGTAGAAAATGGCTCAATGTCTGCAAGATTAAACTTCAAGCCTTTTGAAAGATTTTCGATAAAGTGAAGCAAGGTAAAATAACAACACGAGAAGTGACCCACTGTTTGAGTAATAGCAACTTACATAAACTCCACCGTCTTAAGGCCAGTCAAGCCGGGCACAGATGTTAATTTGTTGCCATCTAATCGCCTGGAGTATTCAAAAATAAGAGTGAAAAGTCGTTACATCTAGCGAAGGCCTCTGCAAGTGGACGCGTTTTGTGCCACGGGGCACGAAATAGAAAGGTAACAGGGAACATGTACACGTAATTGTTACAACAAAAAAGCTGAAAAGCTGGATAGGAATCGGCACGGTTTAATGAAATTATGTATCTTATGGAATGAGGAGGTTAGTGCAGCAGGCACATATTTCCAATATATCATGAGGAACGAGGTACATATCCTTGTGATAGTTTTCGTTCATGAAGGTTTGTTTTTTGTTAAGAAGGATAAAAAAATAGCAATTCTTAAAGTAACAACATTAAAAAAGGGACTTACAATTCAATGAGTTTACTTAAAGAGTTGAACGCTCCATCAGCAATTTTTGTCAAATTTGTCGATCGAATATATCTGCAGTAAAGAATAATAAACTATCGTAAAAGAGGTCATTGCTCATGGTACTGGTAAGTAATAATAAACTGTTTAATCGTTTGTATCACGATGTAGTCACTTGAGATGTAGATGGCAATCTTCATCTCAAGTGATTATATCGTGATACAAATGATTAAACAGTTTATTAAGAATAAACTAATAAGAAAATTATATATTGATTGTCTGGAACACGAAGACGGAGTCGAAAGCAACTCAAGCATTACTTACATACAAAGTTCTTGATTTTTATTGAGAGGAACTGTTGAGGGGTGGATTAACAAGTTTTCAGCCTTTTCAAGGCACTCGCTCAATGAAGGGTCTCAATGGGGTTAACCGTTTGTCGTAAAAAGGCCAAAACTTTAGCTGTTTGACCGTTATTCGTCGAAAAAGTTAAAAACCTTAAAAAAAAACTTTCTGGCGACCATAATGGAAAGATACTAACCGTTATTCGTAAATTGGCCAACATTTTAGCTGTTAGCCGTAAAAGCCATAACCCCATCGAGACCCTCTTAGTGGAGACCGCGTGCAGTTAAACACCAGTTATGTGGTAATAGAAAAACGATGGTTGTTAGAGAAACAGCTTGGCGCCCTTCCTTTTCGCTCGACCGTGACCCTGGCATATGTGACACTTTACACTGTTATTTAACTTCAAGTTCGCCGAAATCTTTGTTAAAGGTAGACTCTGGACTTATTCTCGCCCAATAAGTGAGAACAAAAAGCCTGTTCAGCTTACAGCTTTTCCATATTCTTCATTGCCTGGAAAGCTCCACTTTCGATACGCTTTAAACTGCTTTCTGACAATTCCCTAGTTAAGAAATAAAGAACCTCATTTATCTTTGCATGGCACAATCCGTTCAGCAAGATATCTGTAGCCAGTCCTTATGTATTGCATGCCTATGAAATAAATTTACTTATATGGTAAGTGATCATCCAGTTCTATTCCAAAAAGCTCTCGTTTTGCTGAAATGCTGTAATGTTTAAGTTGCGTAGAGCTTGAGAGAGTATCATTCATAAAGGTTAATTTGAAATAAATGACAAGAACTCGTCATTAGTCACTGACAAAGCTGCTTATTAAAAGTTGTCATATTTTAGAATTACAAAAATTTAAGTTTCTTTCGAAAAGTCGAAAAGCTACCTACGCCCCTGGTTTTCCATGATGACGTCGTCGACGAAGGCGTAAATGACGTTAAAATCAGAAAGGAGTTTAAAAATTTGACGGGATCATCATTATTGTGTGAAATGTTCAGCTGTCAGGATTTTCTGATTGTTATAGCTACGCGATCTCACGCCAAGAAAACACGCATGGTAAACGAGGAAAGACTGAATTAGAAACTGAAATAACAAAGGTTTTAAAGAATAAAAACTGTGGCAGTACTACTTGGGGCAAAGCGGAAACCTTGAAAAGGTGCCATAATTATTGAGATAAACCTTACATGAATCTTATTAACATGTTAAAATTACGGTTCTTACAAATACAGGATCCTGTCAAAGCCAGCGAAAATGTCTACAGTTAAGTTAGGTCCAAGGGGATTTCCTGAAATGTTTCTGCGAGGATTTAATAATATGTAAACAATAGCAATTAGCCTAAAAATAAATAAGTCTTTGGTCTTGTTTAAATATTGGACTCAAGAAAAGCTAGATGATATTAATCATCTTAACGTCTGAACTACCTACCTTACAAAGATTAGTGACCAGAGAGAAGAGCTATCAGTCGTAAGCCTGGTTCTCACTAGGCGACGCAAGCGCAAGTGCAAACTTAAAAGCTCGTATGATGGCTTTGATGAAAGCAAAAGTGCAAAGCACAAGACAAAGGAAAAATATAATCTCTTGCGTCCACTTGTATTTATGCTGGCGTCGAGGTAATTTTCAAGGTGAAAAAAGGGCTGTTATGTTTGCGTAACGTTTGTGCTTGCACTTGAGATTATGTTATAGGAAAACCAGGCTTTATAGAGGAGAGTACTGAGTGATAACTTTGAAGTAGCCCCTTAGTAAATCGTCAGGTTTCTCCAACGCCTATCCGATATCCTTACGTACTTTTAATTAATCGAGTGCTTGCACTCGGACCTGGACTCCATAATAAAACCTAACGCAGTGAAAAGTAAGACTCATCCCATGCTTCATAAAATATATATAAAAGTATATTTTCCATAAAAGATGCACAAACTTACAGGAAAGTGATATCCTTAGAATTTTGCAAAATCTCTTTCATGTCGTCCAACGTTAGGTCGTTGTATTGCATCTTTCTGTAAACAAATAAATGGATGAAGGTTTATTTTCATAAAAGGGTTCGGAAATCTCTTTGCGAGGTCGACAGAAGTAGTTTTTGCTTTACATCTTGATCAATTTAACGACAACGAGAGAAAACGCACATGCATCGATTTTGACATAAATTGATCATGTCAACGCATTCTCGCGAGCCATCAGACTCAGAATGTTGTCTAATGCGTGGTATAGGCTTGACTCTTAATTTGAATTTTCAGGCTGGCTTGAAAAATACCATGTGTTTCCTTTAGAATAAGGATAAAAATTAAGCAAATTTGATGCAAAGCAAATCTTGTAAAAAATCCTTCATCATGATTTATTTTCGAGTTACATAAAGGAGACATATGCTAATACATTTTATCCTCGCTGTTACAACTTTCTTCGACTGAGATTCCAAAGCTGAGAGTGACCTAAAAATTCGCAAATTTTCTTCCTCTTTGGATTCCTGATCACCATTTTGAAAAGAGTCTG